CCCCAAACATACCCCAACAGGGGCCAGGGATCAAACCTGCAACCCAGGTATGTGCCCTTGACCAGGAATCAAACCTGGGACACCCTTTGGGTTGAGGGCCGATGCTCTAACCACTGAGCACGCTGGCCAGGCCTCGGGAACCAGCATTTTCTGTTTACCTACTGAGGTGCGTGGGCACCAGCATTCTAAGCACAGTCCTTGGGCTACTTTGGTGCTCACTGAAGTTTGAGAACCATCACCTAAGAGTCTGGAAAAAACTTCAGGCCTAAATCAGAGGGTGCCGAGCCTGGCTGTGTCCCACACCCAGAAGAGTTTTGGGAATGGTGGTGTTTAGAGCCACACCTTTTGTTTTGAATCCATGGATATAGCCTGTCGCTCAGTCGCCAGGTCAGCACCCAATGACTCCCAGCTGTTTCCAGAGGTCAGACCATCTTGCAAAGAGGTGCTTTGCCTCCCTGGAGGAATAGACTAGGTTTACCAGTGAGAGCGTTTTATTTTATTATTATTTTTTAAATATATTTTTATTGATTTCAGAGAGGAAGGGAGAGGGAGAGAGCGATAGAAACATTAATAATGAGAAAGAATCGCTGATCGGCTGCACCCTGCATGCACCCCACTGGGGATCGAGCCCGCAACTCAGGCATGTGCCCTTGACTAGAATCGAACCCAGCACTTTTCAGTCTGCAGGCCGACGCTCTCTATCCACTGAGCCAAATTGGCCAGGGCCAGTGAGAGCATTTTAAAAACGAGTGTCTGCTTTCCCCAGGTGATGTTAATGCTTCGATATGTGTGGCCTGTCACCCGTCCTGCCAGGAGGCAAGATGGTGAGGTGGAAAGAGCGAGTGAGAGCAGAAACCCAGCTTCTATCATCCAAGAGCTGGGCAGGCCTCTCCGCGCCTTGCTTTCCTCATCTGTAAAATGGGAGCATGGACCGCAAGGAAACTGTCGAGTGCTTGGCATTTGATAAATAGTGCCCATTATTATTACTTCAAAGGCAGGCCTGTTTGCTTTCTATATTGTGGCTAAGGAACATGGAGTAAAGTTTGGCTGAAAAGTAGACTGTTGTCACCCTGGCTGGGTAGCTCACCTGGATGGGCCATTGATGGATACACTGAGGTTTTGGGGTACATACAAGTGAAACAACAAGTTGATGTTTCTCTCTCTCTCTCTCTCTCTCTCTCTCTCTCAAGTAAATAAATAACTTTTTTTAAAAAAAAGTTGGGCTATTGTTTAGTATGGAGAATGTGTGGGAAATTTTGAGGCAAGATACTGGGAAGTTAAACATCTGGTGAGGGATTGTCATCATTAAAGATATCTAAAGGGATGAGCGGCAGGACCACCTGCCATGGGATAGAATTTGTCCTTTCAGAGTCCGGGCCTTTGGCCATGAGCTCTAATGGCCGTATGGACGGGGAACTCTCATAGCCGAGGCCCCGTTGTGGGAGCCACTGCCTTCAAGCAGAGGAGCTACGCTTTCGTTCACCTACATATTTACGTGGGTGGTGATTTTGTGTAGACTGTGTTATGTCTTTCAGTTTTATTTTTTGTCTGTGAAATATAACACCCAGTCACCCCCTCTGTGTGTACTCAAGATGCAAGTCAAAAAACCGAACATTCCTGCACCCCTATAAAATAGTTTTCAAAGTTAAAAAACATCTCTCATGCAGTGAGCATTGACCATACATTTTACTTACTTGTGAGGAACCAGCTGGAGGACATGGCAGGCAGAGGTGATGCCTTGTCAGTGAAGGAAAGTGCTGGGTACAATTAGATACAGACCTGGCCAACGTCCTACAGGACCATAAAGCCATAAACCTCAGAGATACCCTTTTTCCAGGCAGAAATCCTTCACATTCCACCAAACAGAAATAATTAGCTGCTTATCTTCCTTAGGTTAGCTGCAGTCTTTAGAGCCTGGGCATAAGCAGTAGTAAACAGTGAAGTCAATTAAAATTCCAGCCCCAGAGTCAAATGGCGTGGAGGCAGGCTCGTTGGACAACTCTGCAGTTTAATCTTTGAAAGTGTGTGCTATCCTTTATAATGTTAATATGTAACTATGTATTTCTAGACACGACAGTTTTGTTTCGAACTGATTTTTTATATATAGTATGTACACTTTTCTATCTTGCTGGGCAAAGTTGGGTTTAAAGATAAATCTGCACGTTTGTATTCACCCCTTTTCATTGCTGTATAGTACTCCATTTTA